GGGAAGCATTGACTGTTAAGTCTTCAATTTAATGGAATTGCTACATGTGGTCTGATCCAACAAGTATACAACTCTACACAGCTCCGATTACCTTTCATAGTGACGACGACGGCTCTGACTCTTCCACTTCTCTCACTATTCTGAAGAGCCACACTGTCAACTTTCAGATGGGTAAGCACGGAGCTGGAGAAAACACACAAAAAGCACATACACATTTACAAAAATGTGATGAGTGGGTGTAGAAGGCTAGTTGCTTGATTATTTGTTTGGCCTTCAAACATATGAATAAGCCCCACTACCTGGAAGCCTGAGAAATACAAATGTTTGAGACTTCATGAACAACAGGACCATGATTCAGATTCCTTTCAATTTGGCAACAAGCAAAGTTTTTTTTTTTTTTTACTAACGTGTCACAGCTGTCAGCCAGTCGAATCAGCAGCTTCTTGGTGTTGTTGGACAGATAAACTTCCTGAACCGGGAGGTTTCCCACTGCCGCCTGTGTCACACATGTAAAGGCAGAGATTTAGCTGAAAACACACACACACACACACACACACACACACACACACACACACACACACACACACACAGGAATGTAGCTACACTTTCACAAACCGTTCACAAAAATGTGATTTCTGACCTTGATGGTATCTTTGAAGTCGTTGGGATCCTGAAATAAAAGGAGTTCAGAAAGAAAGCCATTTTACATACACTGTTAATAATACAAAAGAATCGTTTTATTTATTTATTTTTGACATTACAGGATTTGATGAAAGTGTTTATGTAACTAAAGAGAAAAGTTTATTTTACCTGTCGTGTGGGGGGGTTCAGAGGAAAGTCCATGATGTACCCTTCCTCCTTCTGGGTGACGCACAGATCTCCACTCTTGGTCTCAAACACCAGGGTGGGGTTTACATTTTCTGAAAGAAAACATCCATTACATGGTTATATGCTGGCACCTCTTTGCTCCTTTTTGCAGTCAGCTGCATTGTGCGGTACAGGCATCTCTAAAAAAGAAAAACAAATCGCTCCAGCAGCCTTTTCTAATGCACCGTGGTGTCACTTTTTCTTTTTTGGAAAAACATTTTTACGTGTAAATGTTGCATCTTACTGTTGTATTGGAACAGCACTGCTGCAGAGGCCAGAGTGGCATGACCACACAGATTGACTTCAGTGGTTGGCGTAAACCATCGAAGGCGGAACCTTGATCCTGTTAATCACACATTTAAGACTTTTTTTCAATTTTGTTTTGGTTTTAGTTTCAAATACACAAAGTTAGGCAGTGCAGATAATGATGTTGGTAATTGGCTTACGTCCACAAAGGTCTTCAAGGTCAACTTAATGATTTATTGGTTAAAGATTGACTAAAAGACTTATAATTTAGTAACCATCATTCTTAAAAGTGTGGTGTGTTGTCAACGTATATAAAAGTACTGTAAAGATTTAAAACGTCACATTTGACCTATGACCTCCCCTTCAAGGTCAAGACATCTAAACATTATAATAATGCTATATAGAGCTACTTAAAACTGTTTCTTACTGCCATTGAACTGTCAACATGCAGGCATATAGGGAAAGATACATGAGGTTTATAACTGCCACATTTCTTAGGACATCTGACCTTTTCTTCAATGTCAATAGTATAATATATAAAAAGCTTATTAATGTCCATTTATTTCCAAATCAATACCAATTATGAAGGGATATATACAAAATACAATGCTATTAAAGTAAATACTGCCCAGAGAGTGAGCAGTCTAAGCCGAGGTTTGTGCTCCGAGTATTTCTTTTTTGTAGTTTTCACACTGAAAAAGTAGCAAAGTAAACTAAAAGCAAACATACAGCATGCTGTGATTATTCATTTTTGAGCATGCTTGTGGTGTTGGACTCTGTCAGTGGAGTCAAAAGGAGACATAGAGAATCTGCTCATAGCTGGAAGTAATTAAATTGTGGGAGATGAGAAAAAATATGGGAGATGGCTCTAGAAAACATCTGTGTGTCAGCAGAGAACTGCAAATTTCAGATGATATTTTTGGCAAATTACAAGAATACTGAACCCTTACTGCCATGGTTTGGGTTCACTTTTTACTTATTTAATTTAAATAACAGGCGCACTTTAAAAAGTCATACATGCTTTCATCTTATTACATTTGGACTTTTGTAATTCCCTCTAACCAGTTGTTTTTCTCTCCTTTCTCAGCAAATATAATTCAGAGTATTTTTCAAAAGTCACATTTTTAAGTCTGAAGTAAAACTTATTGTATCTGTTCCTGCTTCCTCTTTGTACATAATACCTGCATTCCTCTTGGACCGACTGCACACTGCAGTTTTTCACTGTGACAGCTTGTTGCACAATTCTTTGGACTCCATACAATGTAACATTGTTACCTGACAGACTGCTGAGGACAGGTGTTTTTCAGTTTGTGCACACAGTGAGTGAAATGCTCTGTGTGTGTTTAACTGCAAAGGAACACTAAACATAAGCTAATGAACAGATAAACCTAACTTGGAAAAATAATGAGCTCCTGCTAATGGTTGTGGGTCCTTAATTCTGCCTAATGGCACTAGTTTGATTTTGCTGAAGGCTAACCTTTTGTGATGCTCTTATGCAATCCAAAATTTGTAATTGACATTTCCTAATAGGTACAAAGTGCCATGAAATAGACTTTGTGGTGATTTGAATATATTTTTCTCTAATTTAACTGTATTTTGATCCTTAAATGTCTGTTCTCTGTGGCAAAACTTCAAAGTTTTAATTGTGTGACAGTGTCACATCTTCCTATGGTCACTAGCAGATATTTATGTCCTCAATAGTAACCTGGAAGCTGAACTTCTTGCTAAATTTTCATCCTAATACCAGCTATCTCAGGGGGGCAGTTTGCTTTCATTGAGTAGATTGGTCCTTTTTACGGATAAACTTTTTTCACTTTTTTTGTAATCTCAGGCAGACTGATCCAGGCTTTTTTCCTCATCACATTTAGACTATTTTAATTCCCTCTATGGAAGGCTCAGCCAAAAGTCCCTGCCCTTATCTGCCTTGTTCAAACTTTAGCTGCCTGAGACGAGAAGAGCCAAGATCACATTACTCCCACTACATTAGACTTATTCAATATAGAATTGATTTTAAACTTTGCTTTATTGTTTGAACAGCCTTACATGACTTCACTCACCTGGTTAACAGAGCCACAGCCTTGATTCAGACCTTCCTAACTGTTCCTGCTGCTCACATCGTTACAAAAAGAGATCTGGCATTTTCTCTTAGACCCTCACAGCTGTGCAAATTCTTCACCACTCCTCACAACTTTTTTTTTTTTTTTAAATAGTGACTCCTTTTTTTCCTATCATACAATTTCCTTGACTCATTTATTTCACTTGTCATATTATTCAAGTTTTGTGTCGTGTTTTTATCTTTTGTTTTATTTCAGTCTGGTTTTTTTTTCTGTAAACCATTTTGCAACGATTATATACATAAGCTTTATTATTATCATCATTCTTATGACTATAAATTCATACAAACTTGTTAATCTATATTGAAAATTTCTATCCTGCACCTATAGGGGCTACTTTAAAGTTTAAGCAGCATGTGAGCCGTACACCATACTGTACACTTTTGAAAGAGAGCTTTCCATTACAGCAATACAATCTAAGAGGCTTTGGAATTGGCAAGGCAAAAGTGATCTGTATTAAAACAGACATACCTGTAGTAAAGCTATCAGAGGGATTCGTCCTGGTGATGAAAGCAGTTTCTGAGAGGTTCATCTCTGCTGCTATCTTGTGATACAAGTCATCACTCAGCTCCTGTTAGAAACACACGATTTAACGAGCAAATGATAGTGTCCTGAGCTGCTTTGACCAGTTAATGATTGTAAGCTTCTGGCAGACAAACAGAGGAAGTTTGCTCACTGAAAATGAATAAACATTAAATAAGTTAATTGGAAACAGCAGCCTGATGTGTCTTATTCAGTTCTTGTGTGATAGCACAGTTTTCAGGGGAACGCAACAAACTACTTTCATTTTCATAGTTGAATTTACAAAAGATTGTTTAAGTTAAAATACTTTTAAAAACACATCTTGTCGAGTTTGTTTTGCAGAAAGAATTTCTGTTTCTGGTCTGCACTTGTGCGAAGCACCGATGCAGGCCGCCATAGCGCAGGACTAAACATTAAGCTTTGACCTAAATATTCTTACTCACACGCTGAAGTGGACAAACTGCCGCTGGGTTTCCCCTGAACGGTAAATTGGTGAAGGCATCCAGCGTGAACACTGGTATCTCCATTGTAGGTGAGCGAAAGAAGACGAAAATGGCTTGGAAGTTAAGAGCCTCCGTCCTTCAGCACGGATTTTGATGGAAAGGGTCCACACGCAGTGCTGTGGATGGACTTTTGACCCTCCCTCTGCATGTGTTTTTTCTCTCTCCCTGCAGCCTATCCTATTTTCCACTTGTTTTAGTCACATTTAGACATAACCGGTTTGCGACTGTAGTAGAATGAGTATGTGTTTAAGACTACAAACTTTACCCCTTAAGATTGTCAAATAACCACAGTTAAGTGACTATCTAAAAATAACATTTTTAATGCGATAAATACTGTTTTGTATTGTATAGATAGCCAGAATATGCATGACTAGTCTTACAATATTTTGAGAGAGTGATTAATTTATGATTATAGACACACAAAAAATCCGACTACCCTGACGATAGTTTAGTCTTAAACGCATAATCTAGATTTTGAGTTTACAATAACGGGCACGCTGAATATTTGGTAAATTTGTATTTTTATTACATGTCCCAGATACCAGCTCTCTTTGGAGTCGTAAACACAAGCGTCATATCAATAAGCAATTTGGAAAACACGGACTAGTAACAGAAAAAAAAGACGCTAGAATGAATCAACGTTTATAAACCGAAATCTCGCGAGAACATACCTGTGCAAGTTTGCTGGCAGTGTCACCTGAGGCACGGGGCAGGAGCAGGAGACCGGGGATAAGAGGAAGCGGTGAGATAATTTTACCGGTTCACTCATTGCTAACTGTGGATGTGTTTCTTTATGGAGTTGTGTTTTGACATCCAGTGAAGACGCAGGACCGTTAAAACGAGAATTCGTTTGTCCTGTACGTTTGACCGCTGTCTGTGTCCTACAGTTAGCCTTAGCGGCTAGTCTGCTAAATGCTAATGTTGCCGAGATAACGTTTTCGCGTAAGTCTGGCTTACGAGAAACATATAACTAGTATGAATATTAGACTGATGGATACTCAGATTTGGAGAACTTTTTATTAAGATGCCGTCTTGCGTTTAAAGGGTCAAGTTGGGTATAAGTTGAACTCCGACTAGGTTAGCTAGCGCGGCTCTCGAATTTTTAGCACAACACAGCTGGAAGGAGGAAGTATCAGACCATAGCTATTTAAGCTGTTCTGGCCGCTGCAAAGATACAGAAAGTCGTTATTAGATATGTTCTTTGAAAGCTTTTTGTGTCATATGTTACTAATAGTTATTTACTTTGTTTTATTGTACAGTTCCGGCGAGGTTTGTTGTCGGTTTAATCTGAATTTAAAAGTAAAAAAAGAGTCTAGTCTGTCACTGCGTCGACATATCCGCAAATGTTAAAATATGAGCTGAATGCAAACTATCCGGATAGATGCACCAGTAAACATTTAATCTCAGTGTTAACTTTTGCCAAACCTGTTGCTCTTGCAAATCGGTTGACAAAAATAGGATTGAAGGGGAAGATTCGGCAACAACTCGAGTGATCTTATTTATTCCTTCAGCTTTTATTTACCAGATTAAAATTGAGGCCATCATGCCCACACTTAACAATGAGGGATTGTTAGTGCAGCCTAACTTTGTTTTTAAATTCTTTTTAAAATTCATTTTGTGTGTAAAGCACACACGGGGGATGTTGGCTATCTCAGGATCTTACTCACAAGTGAGGGCAGAAAGGGATTGGATGTCGGGCTGAGGCTTTTTTTTTTTTTTTTGCAGTGATGCAGATGCCGAACCGGATTTTTGTGATAAAGAGAGACCTGAACGTGAAAGCAAAGCTGTCAATTTACCGATTGATATACGTCCTTACCCTCATCTATGGTTATGAGCTCTGGGTTGTGGCTGAAAGAATGAGATCACAGATACAAATCGCGGAAATTAGTTTTCTCCTAAGGGTCGCTAGCCTCTCTCTTTTTAAGATGGGTTGAGGAGTTCAGCCAAGCCACAGGCATTCAGAGTAGAGCCACTACTCCTGCACATTGAAAGGAGCTAGTTTGAATATCTCAGGCATCTGATTTGGATGCCTCCTGGGCGAGGTGTTCTGGGCATGTCCTACTGGAAGAAAGCCCTAGGTATTCCCAGGACACTTTGGAGTGCCTTGGTGTTCTCCTGAATGAGCTATAGGAGGTGCCTGGGGAGAGGGAGGTCTGGGTTTCTCTGCTTAGGCTGCTGACCTCACGATCTGGCCCCAGAGAAGCAGGAGAAGATGAATGGTCAAGTACTGTTTGCAAACCAGAAGCATTAAAAATTTTCCACTTCATTATCATTAACAGTGAATGCACACATTATTAAAATGCACACCAGAATGCAAAGAAAAATAGTAATAGCAAATAGTAATTCATAACAATAAATGCATTTTTTTTAAAAATTTGTTCAGTGTCCAGTACCCCCAGAGCAAATGACCAGAATACTTTTGGTCCTTTATATAGATCTGGCACAGGACTCCACATAGTGACCCGTGCTTGTTGGTCAGCAAGACTAGAAGCATAATGTTTAGAGATACACTAAATATGATTTTTCTCGGCCGATTCAGATTTGTTTTTGAAGTCTGACCTGCCGATCCCTATTTTCTAAGAACAACAAATGACAACACATGGAAATGAATATCTACTCATCTTCAATGCTAATATGAGCTGCTTTCTTGCCACAAGGAGTAGCCACAGCAGGTAGTGTCCCCCTTTTTTTTTTTTTTTTTTTTTTTTTTGGGGGGGGGAGGGGTGGGGACTGTTTCGAACTGGAAAACTATACACCCTTACTGACGCATCCGACTGGAATAGAGCCAGTAACTTTTTTTTTTTTTTTTTGGCAAATGAATGTTGATCATAACACTGTGGAGTCAGCTTCAATGCAAAATATCAATTTTGTAATAAATGGATTATTAAACTTAAGAATTCATAACTAAGCAAGTGTTGCTGACACAAATGTCTTTCTGCTGTGTTGTGCCGTCTGTGACAGTGAGGATGTCTTTGAATGACGAGGGGTACGTGGTTCGGATCAGAGGACTTCCCTGGTCCTGCACACAGGAGGAGGTAGCCAGTTTCTTTTCTGGTGAGGAAACAGACATCTTTACATCCTCAGACAAGACCTTAGCTGTTAGTGTTGAAATTGTCACTAGACTAGTTAAATCGCTTAGCATGGCATTCAAGTTTGCATGCACAAGTCTTTTGTAGCACATCTCTGTTTTTGTTATATGCCACACTATTCAAATTTCAGTAGCAATATCAAAGAGCCAAGGGTATCAAGAAAAATGGAAATTATGACCAAAGAATTGGATAAAACATCCAAGCTTACAAGATGATTTTTAGGACAATAATGTAAAGGTTGTTTATTACTTATCCAAACTTACCTTGAGTGCCTGAACTTGGATGTTTAATTTTTTTTTTTTTTTTTTTTTTTTTATATAAATCTTTTTGCAATGGTTCCTTACCATTACCTCTTCTCTAGCAGAAGACATCAGTTTAAAAACTTGACGCAATCTCTCTTATGTTTAGACTGTGACATCGCGGGAAAAGTAAATGGAGTGTGTTTCACATACTCAAAAGAAGGCCGTCCGAGTGGAGAGGCATTTATTGAGCTGAAAACAGCAGAAGATTTCAAGAATGCTCTTGCGAAGGACCGTAAATACATGGGGCACCGATATATAGAAGGTAAGCAAACTGGTTAAAACTGATTTGAATGTTAAGGACGCTACACACTGAACACGTTGAATTTTGCAATGTGATCCATGAGTTAAAGCTGTATCACGCTGCTTTTGTACACATTTCACAATGTCAGTGGGGCGATTTGAACTATTATTAGCAGAGTTGGCAACACATAAGGCGGTATCAATCATTCTAGAGAGGCGTCACTGTTTAGCTCTGCGTCTGAGGTAAAATGGTATTATTTTACCATTTCTATTTCATTGTGTATTCAGTCCCAGTGTGCAATCTGAGTTACAGGTACACTTGCTGCCAGATACAGTGATCTGATTGGTTACATCTGTTTATTCAGATCCATAAAATCGAGCTTGGTTCAAAATAAAAGCAAATGCCCCAAATTCATCAACTGAAATTATGCGGTCAGTGTGAACTGCTGTGTTAAGAAAAGGTGAGTCAGAAGAATATTTTTAATGCAAGAAATAGTTACATTTTACGCGTCTGGTGCATAAAGGTTTTTTTTTTTTCTTTTTCTTTGTATCATTAATGGTTCATAAAGCAGCAGTTATTCAGTTATATTGGGTTCCTCATTTGCATATGAAGCCTTTAAGAAAACTGTAATGAACATGTTTAAGTTTAATTTATGACCAGCATGTGATGTTTGTGAGTCTCTGTCTGTCCAAATCAGTGTTCAAGTCGAACCGTAGTGAGATGGACTGGGTGCTGAAGCGTAGCGGTCCTGCTGACTATGACAGCTGCAGTGGCTGCATGCTGAGACTTAGAGGCCTGCCCTTTGGCTGCAGTAAGGAGGAGATTGTTCAGTTTTTCTCAGGTACATGAACACTGAGACTTTTGGGTAAATACTACATAAAGTTGTATTGATGTTACAGTAGATATTTTAGTCTGAAGGATAGTTTTTCAGTGCTGTAGTTTGTGTTTTGTTTTTTTTATTGTTATTCAGAACACCGTAGCAGTCAAATGAGATGCAACCATAAATTAAATTTAAGACAAACACTTAAGAAAGCCCTTTGTCGCTTCATTGCAATATAGACCTTGTGCAGAATATTTAAAAAGGCTATAAAAAGACAAGTCTTTTAAAAAAAAAAAAAAAAAAAAAATAGAGCTGTCAACTTCACACGATCTTCACTATAAACAGGGCTATATTAGGAAATGTGATGTGGATCATTAAAAGAAAAAAAAGAAATCCAAATACTGCCAACTTCACTTTGAACAGTGCTTTTCACTTTTGCCACTAAACCACATTGCAATACATAGGCATATGCTAACCTTCAGAGTAGATTGACAGGTTATTAAACTTAACATGATTAACTGTGACTAAGTTATTAAACATGTCTGCGTGTTCTAATGTGTGTTTGTTCTTGCAGATTAGTCATGCTGTGCTTACTAATTTGTCCTTGTCCGAATTGTTAGTAGTACAGCAATGATGTTGGTGTTCTGTTAGTCCATTATTTAGCACATTTGTATGACTTAAGATGCCATAGCTCCTAAAGTATTTAATAATAGAATGAGCTGGGCTGTTTTGGCTGAGGGAAGACAATCCCATAAAACTGATCTGGGGTCAGTATTAATGACACTGGCATTGGCTATCTAGGATAATATACACTAATGATTAATAGAGATGGATACTAATATTACATTTTTTTTTCAGATAAAGCATAATTTGGCCATTGTGCTACATATACTCTGTAGTTGTTGGTTTTTTTTTTTAAAAAAAACAACAACAAAAAACCCAAAAAAAACCCCCCCAAAAAAACAAAGGTAAACATACAGTGGCTTATAAGCTGACTCCAAGGCAGTTTTTGTTTTTTCTTCTTCTGTTCCACTGCTGAGCAGCAAGTGTAAAGTCAGTCCCCTAAGATGCTCCTATTTTAAGTAGTATGAGATAATACAGCTGTTGTTTATTTGCTTTAATGACCCATTAATCCTTAAAGCTCCACTGATGTAGTGGGTGTTGTACAATCAATTCTATCAGTCTACCTACCGACCTATGTATTTGTGTGCTTGGGTTAAAGGGTTGAGAATCGTGCCAAATGGGATAACTCTGCCAGTGGACTACCAGGGGAGGAGCACAGGGGAAGCCTTCGTGCAGTTTGCCTCAAAGGAGATAGCAGAAAAGGCTCTGGGGAAACACAAGGAAAGAATAGGGCACAGGTGGGACAGATGGGAAAGGGACGGGCTGGACTGGGTTGGGCTTCTGTTAACAGCATTTAATGGGTGGTGATATTAGAATAATTGTGGTATTATTGGGTTGGGGTCTGAATATAAGCATGGGTGGATGTGCTAGTGTGATTATTATTATTATTAATTATTTTATTTTTGGTAAAACTGATAAAATGGTAATTAATAATGGGTGGATCATGTTATATTTATTTTTATGCTAATAAGCTTAATTGGTTTATATATTGTAATTAAATGTGAAATATTGGGATGGTCTGTCTGTTTTTTCAAATAAAGGTTGGTGTATTATTTTTGTCATAGACAATTTTCCCGTGTTCATTTAAGATGTGGGAGCTCTATTTAATTGCCTTACAGAAACATTTGGGTTTAATAAATGATTCATTGGTCCTTATTTTATGACCTTCCTTGATTTATGTAGATCATTTATTATGGGTGGGGGGTATAAGTATAGAATTAAAACAAACAGCCAGCACAGGTTCAACCATTAAAGCAGAGAAACAATAAAGCACCTAAAAGCCCTGTAATGATTTCCTTGGCTGTAAGTAACAGTGGTGAGGTTGGTGTAGAAATCCTTTACTTCAGCCTTAAGCCCAGCTAGTGAGATTTTGAGGTCAATCATTCAGACCACTGATTAGAATATTTCTACTTTTGTGTCTTTATCTTCTCTCTGTAAATTATATCTATGTTTGTAACCTTAATTGAGCCACTTCAACGCCTTAACCCTCTCCTCTGCCTCTTGTTTTTTTTTTATCCTGCGTATCTCTATGTACCTCATATTTCAGGTACATAGAGATTTTTAAGAGCAGTCGTAATGAAATCAGAGCCTACTATGAGGTGCCCCGGCGGGGAATGGGAGCCCAGAGACCAGGGCCCTATGATAGACCAATGATGAGCGGCCCCAGAGGAGGGTTTTTTGGTCCTTCTCCTGGCCGTGGTGCCACCATGATGGATAATATGAGGAGTGGAGGTGGTTACGGAGGAGGTAAGCAGTTTTTGTCTGACCCTGTAGAAAAGGACCTTCAGTTATATTCAGAATAAATTATATTCAGTTCTCTCTCATTCTGCTGGTGTAAAGAGCCTTGTTTCACCTGTAGTGTATCTGTGAGCGGTGAACTGCAGATTGTCTTTGCTGTGTTACTGTGTCCAGGTTACAGTAACTTTGACAACTACAACGGGTTCAACAACTACTGTTTTGGCAACGGCATGTTTGACGAGCGAGTGAGAGGAGAGAGGGGAGGAAGAGGTAAAGTTCAGATTTTATTTGCCTTTCAGAGTTGTGTATTTGGAGTTTAGTGCCCCTGCTGAAAGGCTGAAATATTTTCTGATATTTGGTGATTACATTTGGTTAATTGCATTTTATTTTTCTCAAACATGTACTTTATCTGCACAAAACATTTGTTAATGAAAACAGGAATGTGCTTGGATGTTTAGTAAGTTGCCCAAGGACATTTTAACATACGGATGAAGGAACTGAGGATTCCTGCACTGCCAAGCTTCTGAATAGTAGACCAACCCTCTCTGAATCTGAAAACAAGATTTTTGGGGCCCACAGTTGCAAACTGAGTAACCAGTGAGGAACGTAACTTGTCTATCCAGAAGATATGTTTAAAAACCACGTGTACTACTACACCACACACCCCTGTTTCAAATGATTAAAATAGAAAATAACTTCTGAGCAATTTCAGACTTCTACATGTTCCAGCTTGTATGATTTGAAACTAAAATCATTCAAAAGGCTTTTTTTTTTTTTTTTTTTTTTTCTTTTTTTTCAGGACAAGTGATTGCCTTGCCTTTTTCAACAGCCATCTTAAAAATTGTCACCATCTTGCGTTTTCAAATAGCTTATCATGAAACTGTAACTGGTACTTCTACCTGCCTGTGAATGATTTCCCTGCAATTTTATCTACTGCACTAACTGCTGATGTCAATAAGTGAAATTAGGATTTGCTTTGTGAAGCAGATGTCTATGGCAGTAAATCTAAGACTTCTCAGTGAAGATTTAACACCTTTTATATAAGAAATATATATTATACATGTGAAATACTGAATTACTGTTTTGTTTTTCTCTCCGCCCCACCACCACCACTTAGGAGTGGGAAGCCATGGTTACAGTAGTCAGAGTGATGTCGGCTCAGGCTTTCATAGCGGTCATTTCGTCCATATGAGGGGTCTACCTTTCCGTGCCACAGAGGGAGACATCGCTAAAGTAAGAAAACGCTAATCTGATGATTTGTCTTAATGTCTGGTTCAAGCATATCAAACTCTGTGGATTTAACTGAAAATATTTTTATTAGGTGGCAGAAAACTGCATTATTCAGTTGAGTGTGTCACGTGTGAGAGAGGGTTTTCATACCTTCTCATTTTTGAAGTTAGAAGTTGGAAATGTATTATCTATGTGGGAACCCAACCTGTCCAGTCCTTTAGATCTGAGATGTCTGGTTTCTGCTCATGTCCTAAAATATCCAGAATTGTATTAACCTTCATTTATTTTTCACAGTTCTTCTCTCCTTTGAACCCGTTAAGGATCCACATCGATATGGCTCCCAACGGCAAGTCAACTGGAGAAGCAGACGTGGAGTTTCGCTCCCATGAAGATGCCGTGGCCGCCATGTCCAAAGACAAAAACCACATGCGTATGATTTGGCTTTTTTTCTCTCTCTCTCTCTCTCGCTCGCTCGCTCGCTCGCTCTCTCTCCCTCCCCCCCAAGCCAGTGTTTCCATTACTCTCACTCAGAGATACTTGTCAACTCACAGCAGAGATGCAGAATAAGACAGAGTGGGAAAAATTAAAATAAAAATGTCAGTGAGGCAGAATTAACATAGGAATACATTTTAAGGAGGTTAGTCTTCCTATTGAGCTTAGACCAAGTGTATAAGATATTTCAGCTTGATTATCTTTACTAATCAGTTTCAGATAAATGCATACATGTCATTTACATTAATGTCTAACAATATTTATTTTTAAATGAAACGTCCATAAACCTCTTTGACTGATTGGGTTGATTTTGGTTTTCCACAGAACATCGCTACATCGAGCTGTTTCTTAACTCGACAGCCAGCGGTGCCGCTGAAATGAGTGAGTTTTAAGTGTTTTGTTCAGCTTGATACAGTTTCATTATACATTTATAATTTTGAGAATGAATTTGATCATTTTCAAACCAAATGATCTTTTTTGAAAACCTTTCAGGCCGTGGCAGCGGTGGTTACTATAGTAACTCAGGAGGAAGCTCCCGGAGCAGCGGGCTGCGAGGTGCATACTGATGATGTCATCCCACAGCTCCAGTCCATCCTGGCGTTCATGTCACGTCTCTGAAGGCCACATTTAATCAATGAGTGTTTCTAAGCAGGAAAGCTGACGTGAAGTTCCACATTTTCTTTCCTTTTTGTTTTTTTTTTTAAAAAAAAGGCAGAATGAAAAAAGTAAGACACAGACATGACCACAACGAGCACTATTTTCACACTATTCCTAGAAGCATATGAAGAACAACACGGCTTACACGGAGATAAAAATCCCGGAGCTGTCACAGGTGCTGAACGTGGTCAACTGGTCATGTCAAAGGATTCATGTTTCTTAAAATTGAAGATTGTAGTACAGTTTATCTGAATACACACAAATACAGAAAAGATACAAATTGCAGAAAGAGATGTTGTCTTTTGTAATTATATTTTATGGAATGGTATTAAGAGCGTTACATCTGAATGCATTAGTTTTTGACGACTTTAGTGGGATGCACTTTTTTTTTTTTTAAATTCTCCAGTGCAGCAGGAGCTTCATCCCACAGAGCAACAGCTGTGGTGTTTGATATGTAAGGGGTGGGTGGATTGCTTTGGTTTGGGTATCTCGTTGCAAGTCTTCATAGGTTGCGGTCTTAATCATCTTGATTGAAGTGTGTTCAGATAATAACATCCATTTGACCTTGACTTCAGATCAGCTTTTCTGGTTGAGAATGTTTTGTAAATGTGAGCCTGTGTGTTTTTTATGAATGTTTTCACAGTTCATTACAGAATTTAAAAAAAATAAGTTGAAATATTATATTCCACTCTCAAAGAGTGGAATTAAAATAAAGTCTATATTTGAGCTGTAAGATAGCTTGTGCAGCTGTTGTACATTTTGCCTAATAAATTTTATATTTAATTGTCTTTCTGACTCTGATGTTATTTGAGGACAAATCTCCATATTGAGGTTATTGAAATAAGAGTCCACATTTTGTTTAAAAAAATGCAAAGCTGATTCAAGTTGAGGACTTGAATCGCTAGGAAAAAATGACAGGAAGCAGGAACCCATTCTGTGAGTGTTTAATCAGAAACTGCGAAACAGTCAAGACAACAGACTGTTGGCAACAGAGTTAATTTTAAACTGCAAAGTAAGCTAAAGGGCAACAGTGGTAATCAATATTTATATACAATATTATGTATCAACTGTACAAGTCCCACATTAATCTGGGACATTTAAGACAAAACAAGACTAGTCTGGGTTCAGCTCGGAAATATCTGCAAATAGATCTTCATGACATGTTTAGACTATATCGGAAACAATTTTATCACTTATTGAAATCATCCCCGGTCTATTGTCTCTTCACTGGAATTACAACATCCAGTACTTTAATGAAGAAAAAAATCAATTTGTAAACTTTGCAAGCACAAAACCAGAATCTGCACTGGAACTCATATTTCAAACTTCCATTCAAAACTCTTAGTTTGGCAACACAAATGCACTATTTTAAAATGGTTAAACTTCCCCTCACGAATGGAGCAGCAGTAAAAAAAAAAAAAAAAAAAGTGATTCTTTAACATCTGATTGCAACAAACTTCAAGTAAACAGGGGAAAGTTCAAATTTTCAGGCTTATAAAAGTACAAATTAATGTGTATAAAACAAACTCAAATCTATACTTCACCCAGTATGATTGGCAAGTGTTCAAACATATTTTGTAAGTAGGTAACACTCACGTTTACAACCACTAACTTTAGTCGTGAGTTTCTCTAATTTCCAAAAAAACAAATGAACCAGCCACACTGAGAACGACTGAGCTCAAACTAGAGCTGACTGCATCGACCCCTCCTCTTGCTCCTTAAAGCAGCACCCACTGCATTAGTGTCACAAAACAGTGAAACGTACCTTTAATTTTTTTTTCCCCCCTTGGCTAGTGTTGCTACTCTGAAATATTCTGGGCTCTCGTTTTAGATCCTCAGTGTAGAAATATAGGACTCATTTTGGCAACGTGAAAAGAAGGTAATCACTGCATTTACACAGGCACATATGGCACAAATACCACAAAAAAAAAAAAGTTCAAGTGCTTTTCATATCCTCACGGGAAACTAGTGTCAGCAGAGCTCAAGCTGCCTGGAGCAGTAAATAGTCTGCAGATTTAGCCTGAAGTGTGACTGCATACAAATCCCATTTATAAAAATGTTCCTGGATTTATAAAAATGTAGTCCTAAGATTTTTCCCAATGGTTATGCAAAGGAGTCTCAACATTAAATGCATACAGGATGACGAGTTCATAACTAATTTTGCTTGTGCATCTTCCAAGAACCCAAAGCATCTGAAATACGAGATCCCGGTGACCGAAGCTGAGCAACATAGACTGTATATTAAAGATGGAGATAATTTCTGGGTCTCGTGTTGTAATGGCCAGCAGCGAGCTTTCAGAAAGAAGTCAGACTATACAAATCTATTGGAATTTCTTCCTTTGAGCACGCTCATCTATGAAGTTAAACACGTTCCTCATGAGATTGTGGTCTTAATCTCTAGTGTTACATTTCACTAAATACAACATGATCTTTTATTTGTATATTATTGTCCCCATTACAGTAAAAAAAACAACAAAAAAAGCAGTTTATGCCTTTTAGGTAGACCTACTTTGTGACTTAAAAACCTGGTTAATCCCTTCCCTTCTGCGCATAGTCCTGTTCAGTCCAACCTGTAGAATCAGTGTGTATAAACGGGGCATCCCCCAAACATCGAGATGAGAAACGAGAAACACTCAGCTCACATAAGGGCTTCGCTAACCAGTGAGTCCATCTTTTATATACAGTCTAAGGTCCCAAAGTGCAACATGTCATTTCAGGACATAACATTACTTCTATGTCAAAGTCAGGTTTAATAAATAACTTCAGTACTTCAGATAAAAAGAGGCCTTTAGCCTATTTTATGAGGCCATGACCATCTTCGTTCTGTGGCGATTTGTCTGTCAACCACCTGCTGCTACAACGGTGACAGAAAGTGATTTTTTTTGTTGTTGTTTTGTGGCACAACTCTTTTCTTCCTTAAACGCTGTCTGAGGCATTTTAACTCTTAATTGAGTTCTTTTAAATCCATCTTAAAAGAAGGTGCAAAGGAGTCCGAGCCGACAGCCGTAGCAAGACCACCATACTGCATGTGCAAACTTTAAAATCTCGCCTGTTTGACTATAAAGTTATTGTGGAGACTTTGAGGACTAACAGATGCATTAGAGGTTTGGTTCATAGAACTGTCTGCTTTTAGCTACAAGGAGTGTTCATCATAGTGCAGTTTCACTTCCACCTCTGCAGAGCCGTTTCTGCTTTCATAACCAAACACTCACGCCCTGAACTTTAACATGAAGTCTTAGAGTTTGAGCTTTTACTTTAGTGACCATTATTTGGAGTAGCAGTTACGACAAATGGTTACCTGGTCATTGGATTGTGCACCATAAACTAAATATGGTTTCTTCGTTATTTTCATTGAGACTTAATATATATATACACTTGGGGCTGACAGTCGTAACTATTAATATTACAGCAGACTCTTCTCTGTCTGACTACAAGGGAAGATATTTTAGACTCTCTGCAGATGTTCTGCATTCAGAGTCAAGCAGCTACATCGACAAGTTAGACAGATGCACATGTCGCTCTTTTCTTTCTTTTTTCCTTCCTTTAAACAAATGACAAATCAAGTGTAAGGATCATAAAATGCATGTGCTCCACCCCTTAGCAGCAAACACTGTAGATATAAGTTGGCATATGGATCCTATACAACACTGAAGAGGTGGTACTCATGAGTGTGACTGTTTCGAGGCCGTCACGGCAGCGGCGCAGCACTCTTTCATGTTGGATTGGAGGAGCATCGCTGCAGGAGGAGGGCGTGGCAGGTGTCACAGACTCGCACTGGTTTGGGAGACGCTGGCAGAGGAAGCTCGTTGTCAGAGCAGCTGTTACAGAAAATCTCCCCACAGTTCCTACAGTGGTGCTGTAGAAAGAGACAGAGAGTAAAACCAACTTAAATGCTTCTGGATTAATTTTACATCCATTAAGATCAACGATTCTTTTAAGTATTTCTTGGGGTCTCTGAGGTTTAAACCTATCTAAAAGATCCTGAAGATCTTTTAGATAAAATGGGTGTAAAAATCACAAACCATCCAAAATCATTCAGTGCAGAATACGACCCCGGTTCAAATATAACTATCTGAAGTCAACTTAAGACAGACCTTTCTTCTTGAGATGGAGAACTCCTTCTCACAGAGCTTGCAGTGAGTGGCTTCTTTGTCCTTCAACCAAACCTGACCCCCCTGAAACAAACAACAAACCTGTGTTCTTAAATAGCACACAAACCAAAGTTAGCTTTGCTAACTACACTTATTCTGGGATTTTGCAGCTTCTTCTGATCCTTTTTTTTTTTTTATTAAACTGTGTGAATTACCTGAAGAGCTTTGTTGGCTTCTTTGATGTCCTCAATCTTCAGTTTGGATCTGATTTAGACAAAATGGACAAAGTTACCAATCGAAGGGCATGAATTTCATTTTGTAGCACACGCAGAGAAAAAGAAGATTTTAGCTGTAATGATAATGATACCGGTATTGCTGTTGTTACAGTTTTTCTGACTCATTAAAACTGCTTAGTCTGGTGCCAAAAACCTTAAATAAAAGTATCAAACTACGTTAAAATTAACTTATTCTCACTAAACACAATTTTCCCAGTGATCTACATGTGATGCGAATGTCTTCTTCTTTTTTACATTAAACAGATGACAGCTTATAATTTAGATTTAAGCCTTAGTCACAGATGTCTAAATGCCTTTGTTGTGTGGCAGTGAAAAGCAAACTGGAAACTAAGGATGCTCATTTTTGCCACTGAAAAAAGAAAAATGTTTCCATCCATAACTTAAAATGTTCAGTAGGGTATCTCAAAAAATTTGACGGAATAACTCAATGAATGTTTGAGTCAAAAGCTCAAAATTTTCAAGAAAAGAACTAAAAGATTTCAACTTAATAAGTCAAAAAATTTGTGTTAGTTCTGCCAATCAGGAAGCTCTATAAAAGACGTCATTTCAGTGTTACCCAGAAGGAGAAAGGGAGGAATCAGCTGTCCAACAGTTCATCATCACAACATCGATCAATACCTTTTATGCAGTTAAGGAGCCATTCAAAGCTGAAGA